TACCCTCGTCAGCGTGCATGTTCGGTTGCCAAAATCACAAGTAATGCAGCTCTATTAAGGCCAAGGGAGTGGAAGATGAATTGCAGGAAGTACAACGGTAGGGCGTTTTGTGCCAGAGAGTTAAATCGACACGACACTGGTGCATGCACCTGGGTGTGACTTGTACCCGTCGCCGTTAAACAGGCACGGAGGTACCAAGTGGCTTCAACCTGGGCTATCACAGTGTCACTCCATGAGAAACATATGTGGGTTAGCATGCCTGACGACAGGTGCATGGGCATTTTTGAGGCACTTGTGCTGACTTTATGATTACTTTAAGGCTTCCCAATTTCGGTCTCATACAGCAGTTAATTTCGCTCAGATTGCCCGAAGAAACAGAATTTGCTGAAGAGGAGGAGTAAGAAGTTAATGTGTTTTTTCGTCTCAGAGAAGACAATGACTGAGTTGTCACTGCGCAAACCAATTTCCTTACAATGTGATTAAAGTTTGTATGCTTGGAATCCGGTATATGTAATCATCACCGCAACTTTCATCTACGTCCCAGTGTACCGCACGCTCGTGTCGAATTATTCATTCGCCCCTGCACTGAAGCAGTTTCCTCTCCTATCTCGGGAACTTCAAATCTGCAGAGAGGAATTAACAAGGCCTGTATAACTGTGTAAAAATGTCCTCACAATCACATTGGGAGCTAAGTTCCCCCGCTCAAACACAGAACGAAATATAATCAATGCGTACGGACACGTGAATTCATTTAAATGCTGACTTAGGAAAATCTCAAGCTAGAGTACCAGGGTAGATGGCTTATAAAGATTGCCTGGTACCAGTACGACGATCTTTATCAAGACTTGTTTAATTATGCCAATTAGTTGAAAGACCAAGAGAGAATGTTTACGGCAGGAGCTGCTATTAGGTCGGTTAGATGGACAACCCAGCACTCAGCAGGGTGAATTTTAATAATGAATGTATCCTTTCTGTGATTTGAGTCCACATCTGAAAAACCAAATGCTATTTTATACATGTCGCGGATTAACATAGGCTCTTATAGCCCAGCCAAAGCAAAATGGCGAACAGCAGTTACGAGGGTTAACTCTTATTGTCATACATCGAGCACTGGTCGACTTCCACTAGACCGGTTAGTCGGCCAACCGGTTTGCCTATCAACTGTTCCAGCTGGTTCTGTAGTCTGGAGATATAACACCTTGATATTTTTGACCCCGCTGTTCATTATCTCACTAGTTCTTTAGTATGTGAGGTCACAAGTCTCATCAGCAGAGCGCATTCTGACGCGAGAACATTGCAGTACAAGTCATTTCATCAAAAGGCCATATCTGCAGTGGCCGATCGAGTTGGTGTCCCTTGACAGTCACAATTTCGGACGTCCGAGGCGTCCTCCTTCTCCTCCTGCATTTTGGTCATTACGCTTCACCGGCTTCGTCCTGCTGTCATGCTCTCTTGTGCTACCTCTGTGCGCCTGGGAGCTCAATAGGGTCTGGGCGATTTACCTCAAGTTTTCTGTTGACAAAGAGCCATTGAGAATATGCACGAGATCTGCGATTCGTTCGGCTGCATCCAATCCGCGTGTGAAATGTTTCGCCCGAGCGTGGCGACTGCAAGGGCAGTCGGGTGGAGAGATCCACTGGTATGCGTCGCACAGCTCTTTTCCAGTGCACCAATGCATGTGCACATATTTCCTGAATTTCAGTGAGTGGCCTGATATTAGCATGAACACAATAAAAACCCATCGACTGTTGCGAAACCGCAGGGAGTTACCGAACTCATGAAATGTTGGCTGACATTCTGAAGTGCGCATTCGATTAGAAAGCCTTACTGAGATGCGGTTACAAAATTGATTATCTTCCGGCATAATCCTATAATATTTCGGACTTGGCAGGATGCCAACTTTTGAATGCTCTGCTTCTCAACCTCCTGTGGAAGCCGTACTCGGTAAAAATGACTACATAAGTAGCATGCATTTTCCACACTGATTTTCGATGGTCTTGCAAATTCAAATATATTTTATAGAAACCATGAAGAAATATGCTTTCTTTCAGTCGTTGGATAGAGAATCACGTCATCTTTATATTTTATACGTAAAGAAGGATTACAATTCGGTTTTAGAAAAGTTCCTAATTATGAGATTTTTTAAGACCGCGCAATATCCATTCATTCAGCATCTTACTTGGTCGTTTACCACTGCTCCTCATGAAATGTACGACGTGGTCGGCATCCATTGCAACATTTCATAGACTCTATACAATATCGTTTTAAAGGTATATAAGAATATGTGATTTTGTCTACGCGGAACGCATGCAAATTGTAGACTGAAGTCCCTAAGCGCTAATGCAACGGCTGATCAGGCTCCAAAGTATTTGGGAATTAGAAAACTTTGTAAAACCGAATAATCAGTTTTGTAACCGCACCTACGTAATCCTTCCCTATCAAAAACGCATTTCAGAATGTCAGCCAACATTTCATGAGATCGATCACTCACTGTATGATTTGGAATAAGAGATAGCAGTTATTGGAAGGCCATTTAACGACAAAATTCTCAAATTTGTTCTTCGAAAGTTGCGTGCTCCTACCGTCTGCAGTGTACGGAGGATTTTCAGTGCGTCATCCTTTACAGTAAACTGTCCCTAGCTAAATCTCCGCTCATGCTACACCTCAGGTTGTTCATAGCCATCTATCTAAACATGTTCCAAAAAATGGTTCCCTAAAAAATCTCCTGGCCAAACCCGGGGCAAATGTCTGGGATTCTTACGCAGTATTGCCATTCAATTGTGAATTTCCTGTATCCAACGCGAGTGAACAGGAACGAACAGAGCAGAAGGAGTACTTGCTAATAACAGGGAGACCGAAATGGCCATAATCAGTCAGTCAAACACTCCACACCTTGTAGGAGCCCTCCTGGGGAAAAAGGGAATTTCGAAGAACACGACTCGATTTCTAGTACCGCTCAGTGTGGAAGGAGCTTCCAGGCCTTGTTCAAGCTTTGTCGCTAGATACTGCGCCCCAAAGATAACAGCCCCAATAGAAAGAATTCATTGGTTGTCAACTGGTTGACCTGAAACCACAAAATAGGGAATTTCGTTGGAGAAGCGTCGGCAACTAGTTTATGATTCACAAGCACCAGTTCGCGATGCAGATGTCACAGCTACAGGTGTACGCAATGATACCTTTTTGCCAGAGCTGGTCATGAACTTAACTCTGCGCAGTCGAGGTTCTGACCATGTGGAAGGCGAAATGCGGGGGATGTGCGTCAGACGTTTGTTCAATGAATTGACAAATGGAAATGCTTGTATAGTACGTGGTCCTGCACCACCACCTTCTGGACCAAAAGGTCTGTAAGCGTCTGCTACGCCAGGATCAGCAAACCATGGCCCCCACAGCCTGGTATGCGCTGGCAGTCTCTGACACCTGGTTCCCTGCCGGTAGATGCACTTGCGCTCCCGCTGGTTATACAGGTCGTGTGCACGACTGCCCACTCATCCTCGTCCAGTCTGTTGTTGTTGGTGGTGGTCAAAATCCTGGTCGTGTTTGTTGTGGACCAGGGGGTGTGGAGTGGAGTGTCAAGGTGAGGGTCCGACCGCGCCATCTACCTGCGCCCTCCCCGTCCCCGATTTTCTCGAATCTGTCTTGACATCGGGTTAAAGTGGCGGGAAGGAGGGAGTATGGTAGACGCTGTCCAAGTCTACTCTCACTATAAGCTAATTCACGCGCCAGTCACGTGCCTGCTTCACCTTGCTGTGGTGCGTCAGGTGCGACGCCGAACTACTATACCTTCTCGGAATACTACCCCCTGAAAATGCGCTATGAGGTAGAGGAAGTTGGATAAGAGACGAAACTGTAAGTTCAAAAAATTTCTTTGTTATTTTACCGCTGTTCCTCTGCTGTAAAATAGTACGTTTTCTGGAAATGTGTCGCTAGTAATAGCTTGACATGTTAAGGTATTCAATCTCAACAAAAATTGATTCGTTATCTTGGCATAACATCCTCGGAACAAGCATTTTCAGGGTGTGTCTGAAAGCTTGCCTAAATATCTGAGTCCAATTCCCACAGTTTCAGAGGGACAACCAATTAATATTCACATCCTGTCAAGAGGCAGTCAGAAGCATATAAATATTTATGGATTTATTACACTCCCAGCTGAACTATTACTTAAAATCACAGACACGTGTTCCACCATATGAAGCATCTACGAGCAATTTAGCCCGTTAATGGGTTTTCACTGACTGGCCGAGTCATTCATAGCAACGTCATGAAGCATCACACAGCAGCTCAACCGTCGTGACCAACGATATCCACCGTGTGCACCACAGCAGTCTGAGAGCAGGCACAATGATTTGTACGTGAATTAGTTTATAGT